AACATAGGTTTTTATTCTCCTGATTATGAAAGTTGGGACGAAACTAAATGATTACCAGATGTTTTGTATATTAGTATATTATCATGAGTATTGGTCGTTTTAGCATCACTATATCTTTATTTCTGAATTGTTTTAATAAAAAAATCACTCAAATCAGTCATCAACATGGCCTCATCTAGAAAGCAACACATAAGTCTCATAAGAACACAATACCTTTTCTGATTCTATTACTAAATATGCTTATATGAATGTACATAGGTTGTTGATTAACGCATGTATAGTATATGTATTGTCTGGAAGCTAGTGGAGATTTATCTTTTTGGTTTTTGGAGGGTGGGGGGAAATGTGACTTAACCAGTGCAGGATATGCACATGCACTGTCCACTGGTGTATGAATGAGCAACATGAGCGCTATATAGCAGGCAACCTCCATGCAGAAAGGCCCACCCTGACCTGGGAATAAAACCCAGACCCACGGGTTGCTGCACCACCTTATTTTTACTGTACATCTTTTAAATCATATGCATATCTTTTTCCATTTAATTAAAGAATGCAGCTTGAGCATCAGATTGAAGTTTTAGAAGCTGGCAAAGGATGCCGCCATTCCCGAATCTATATTTCTATGGGGATTGTTGAATCATCTTTATATTCCATTACACAATGTTAAATATTGTCAGTCCATCTCTGCCCATCACATGTTTCCCTAACGTTCATTCAGTCAGTGTCAGAGCTTCTTTCTATTAAATTTTCTGTTAATCACAACTTAGCAAACCGATGCATAATATTTTAAATGTTGTATTTACAGCTTGTTTGGTTCTCTGCTCGCTGCCAGAAAATCAATTAATGCTGCTTTTGGCGAGGGCGATGGAGAGAAATGTAATCCTCTCAATTGGAATATTATATAAAATTAATTGCTTAAACTAACGACGGCAGCCAGATTTTTGCTTTGCCTAGAATGTTCTACAGTGGCATTAAATACCACAAGTCCACAATTACATTATTCTTTAACGTGTAATGAAATAAATAAAAGAGAGGACATATTGGGAGTGAATATTTCACAGAACATTTATAAAATCTATGTTTAACGATATTATGTCTTCAATGTTGCTTTAGATTGCTCAGAACTGAGAAATGTCAATATGTTTGGTACAGGTATTTATAAAAGGAATTTGGTAGAGAGCCACATAGATCCAACTCACTGCAACAAAGTGAGAATTCTCTAATGTGACAAACTAGGAAGCAGCAGAACTGTACAAATTCAGTCTTGTTTCTCTAGAGTAAACATTCTGCTTAATGTAGTTTCAGATGGTGTAATTTGAATTTCTATCAAAATTCAAGCGCTGAGTACTTCACATTGATTACTTCTCTATCGACAATACATTGTATATTCTGAGTTATAGATATGGAGACGTGTGGATCACACAGGTAAAATATTTGTCTAATCGCGCAAGTCTTTTCTGTTTTCACTCGGATACCCGGGGAATCCATAAACTTTGTTTACGGCCACGTTCAGATGCTTCTCCATCTGCTACTTATGCACTCAATCAATTTTGGCTGTGTGCTGCTCATAGAGCAGTGCTTATGAAAAAGGGTAGTCATCTGCATGCACATTTCACACACACGCACACACGCACGCACACACAAACCCAAACTAACATAGCTGATGTGTTCTTTTATGGGCATACGAGCCATGGTGTTAGTCCTGTTTTAGGTGATGTTTTCAATGGTTGCAAAGCCAGCTGGGTGTGTGAGGGAAGATACATGCCAGTGATTGGTTTGCTGACACCAGCTGCCCTTTTGGAAATAAATTAGACCAAAGAATTAAGATCGCTGGTAAGAGGCATACAGAGAGAGCATTGTATGGTGGAGTTTGAGCACTGTTCAAAATGGAGCTACCAATCTTTGATCTTCATGTACTGTTAACAATATCTATATACTAAATTGCTATTGTATATCTCAATTTAACTTTCAGTTTTACATTCTAAATTAAAATCTAAATAAAACGTTTCATTGGAGCCACTCTTTCAGCCTGATCAGGGTTAATGTGTGTCCTTGGACTCTCAGATCGTCTGAATATACACTACCGCTCAAAAGTTTGGGGTCACCCAAGTGTTTTCCATGAAAAGTCACACTTATTCACCACCGTATGTTGTGAAATTAATAGAAAATAGAGTCAAGACGTTGACAAGGTTAGAAATAATGATTTGTATTTGAAAAAAGATTTGTTTTACATCCAACTTTGCTTTCGTCAAAGAATCCTCCATTTGCAGCAATTACAACATTGCACCAAAAACCAGACATTTGCAGCTAGAATAGTCATTTACCACATAATCAATGTATAGAGTAATAATAATAATAATAATCTTTATTTGTTTAGCACTTTTAAAAACAATGTTTACAAAGCGCTGCACAGTCAGCATAATAATAAAACATAATTATCATGCAAAGTCAAAATAATTAGATACATACAGATACAAACACAAGAAGGGAGACACAACAAAGACAGAACAGACATTAAAATAAAGCATGTGAAGTTTAAAACTAGCAGTTAAAAGCTCTTTTGTAAAAGTGATTTAAGAAGTGATTTAAAAGAGGATACTGATGGTGCTAGCCTTATCTCCTCGGGCAGGTCGTTCCAAAGCCGAGGAGCTCGGACAGAGAAGGCTCGGTCACCCTTTGTCCGGAGCCTCGACCCTAGAACAGTCAACAGGGACCTGCCCGAGGATCTAAGGCTGCGGGGGGGCTCGTAGGGGGTTAAAAGTTCATAAATATAGAGTGTCTTTCTTTACAGTTAAGACTAGTTTAAAGTTATCTACAGTGCTTTCCTTCAAAAATGAGGACATTTCAATGTGACCCCAAACTTTTGAACGGTAGTGTAACACAACATATATAACAGCATTCATGGCCTTGGAAAGGGATGTGTGGAGACTGGTGATTCAGGACATTAAGGAACATTTATGGACATTCGTCATCCCGCCCCTATGCGGAGCGGCATGCCAATATTGCATTTCATGTGTTTGAACTGTTTGATTCTCTGATCTGTTTTTGGCAAATTGACAACTTTGTAATACAAAGGGTGATTTAAGGCTGATTTAGGCCTTTACAAAGTGGATTGGATTGAATTGAAGATTGGTGTTATTTTTCTTTGATTCTTCATTTTTTTCCATCAGAGTCGTGTTAATTGTCATATCTTGACAAGCTATTGAAATGTCAGAAACAACACATGTTTTTGAGGAAGACTGCAGCTGCTGTGGAAACATGTCGGCTATGACAACAAACACAATACCTTGTATCTCTCACATTGATAAATGTCAATCCAACCCATGGCAAGCACTTGCTCAGAGTAAAACAAAGTAGCTACACTCCGTAATGGAGCTAATTTGAGCACAATCATGTCTGTGACTTTGATAACTCTATCAATGTTTAGGCTCAAAATGCGTTTGTAAGTCACTGTTTTTAAATGTCGGTTGACTGTTCATATTAGTTAATATTTTTTTGTATAATGAATCATTTCTGACCAAAGCAGCGCTCAGACGTACTGTAAAACGGATGTAGCTGAATCCTTGCTTGTGAGACTGCCCCTGAGCCTTGGTTTTGTATATGACAACACAGACCAAAAGTGTCTCATCTGGTTCAAAGTGGCTCACTCTGGTCTTGTGTCTGTGAGGCCTGTGACAGCGGGAATCCTAATCACCACAAAACAGCATTGCCACGATAATGCGCGTCTTCTCATTTTGTTGCTGCTTGTTTGCTGCTGTGGTTTTGGCAAAGCTGACTACACAAAGTCATAGGGCACATAATAAAGCTTTCACTGTTTTTCAGCTAAACACGCATGCCACTTGGCTTTTTAAGTATTTAGTTCATACTTTCATTATGTTCTAGGTCAGGTCCACGTTAAAATAAAGTTCAAAGCAATTGAAAAATATGCGAGCCATGTGTATATTTGAATGTGTTCATGATAGTCATCTTTTTCACTCAGGCATTGTGCTGTTTGATAGAGACAGTGCACTTTAACGTACATCTGTAAATACAGTGTAAATATGCAGAATTATAGTAACATCTCTTATCTTCAGGCAGGAGAAAACAAAAACTTTGTAGACATAGACTTTATTGTTCCTTGTCGTGTGTCTGAGTAAAAGGCATCACAAACTTGGTTGGAGTGTTGTGCCAGCAAATTCACAGTAGTCAAAATGTCAACTAATGGTCTTCCCTGCCCCTGGCTGAATCGTATATGTCAAAAGAAGTCAGTCAATCGCAGAATGCGATGATGACATGCAATGTTTAATTAGAACCTCAAGGTTGCAGTTTTCCCATGAAAAAAAAATGTGGTAGTGTAAAGTTGTAAATGAATGCAAGAGCAGTTTGAAATCTGAAGATTCCTCACATGTGTTGTAATGTTTTTGAAATACATTGACATACGAGCAGTGAAATGCAGCATAATGTGTGCAGACAATGCTTATAATACCTATACTTTGCTTTGCTGAAAAGGACTTGGTTTAAATGGAAATGGATACAGCTGTCAAATTGTGGTTTTCAAAGTGGCATTTTTGACAACACGGCAGGCCCATTCTGTTTTATGCACAGTGAGGTAAACATTGAAAGAGCCAAATTATCCAGGCTGGAAAAAAAGCTGCTCACGACTAAAAACCAAATGAAAAAATAATGTAAGGGTTGACTGAAATTTGACTTTCTAGTATGCAGTGTTGTTGTGTAGTTGTGATTCTTTCTGCGATCAGTTCTCTTTTGGCTATGTGTTTATAATTGACAGCCATAGGCGATGTATGAGTTGGTCTTAGGTCACTTCATTTGAGAATCCATTCAACCTAGAAATCTTTATACCTCACTGAGTGGAAAAGTTTTGACTTTGTTTGTTCTTTCTCGTGTGACTGTCTTTGCGGCCTACACACAACCTGGATATTCAACTGAGCAATCAAACCTGCACATTCTTTCAAATGATTGTTTATTAATAGATTATCTTCATATTTTCTTCCTTTTCTTAGCAATTGCTGAGGGAGATGCAGCAGATGGCCAGTCGCCCCTTCGCCACCATCAATGTTGCCTTGGAGACAGACGAAGAGCCGCCTGACCTCATCGGTGGAAACGTCAAGGTTGGAAGCTCGGTTTATATCATCTAACAAACACATGGCTGCATGTGTAGAATATTCGGAACATCCTCTAGTGTGAGTGACTACTGCAGAGAGAATGAATATTGGAGTCTCACATGGATTTAGTCCATCCATGCTTGTCAATTATTGGACAAGGAGAGATCTCTGAAAGAGTTCTCCAAATGTTCTCAAAATGCGTGCATGCAGGAAAAGGCAAATGGGTCGTGCTTGATGCTTTGTCTTCATAGGCTATTTGTTCTTTAGGAACATTGCTATGAGTAGGAATAAAGTTTAAGTAAGTTAGAAATCTGTCCTCTCAATCCACACAGAGATGGGAGCAGGGTCGCCATACAGGAGGCGCATGCCAGACTAATTATACAGGTTTGCTGCTATATGGCAGGGATTAAAGAGTTCCGTCTAGGTGACGGATTTCCGTCAAATGAAATTGGTCTGGAAAAAAAAAAAAATATATATATATATATATATATATATATATATAATGATAATAATACACACAATGAAATGATTGATTATAAAAATAATATATAGTAATACATATACGTGTGAATCTGTTATATATATATATATATCAATGTATAATAATAATTTGAATATAATTGTATTTATATGTATATAGAAATAATAAGTAATATAATGACGAGTGGGCCTTGAACGTGCCGTGGCCACATGAGCGCTCCGCAAATGAATCAAGGCAATGGGACGTAGCTGAGCTCACGCGCAAATGAAGACGCGATGAAGTTAGCATTGGTAACACGGAGGTGAAAGTTTCTGGAAACTGCACGGAGCTTTTGAAAAGGAGAAGAGGAGGAAAATTGAATCTCGAACGGAGCAATAACAGCAGCAGATCCGCGGACTGGTAAGCTGGGCGCGTAATAGAGGAAAGGTAATTAACGTTTACCAAACGCAATGCTATTTTACTTAACGGAATGTACAAAACGGACTTTGCTGCGACTGGGAATGGGGACAAACATGTCTTGGTGAGCTTTTGATATTGTCTTGTTTGCGATCTTCTTGCAAAACTTAGCGTGATGTAAAAGAGCCAATCAATGAGTCATGGTGCGAAAAGATGAAAGTGGCCGGTGCTTGTGCGTACTTTGCCATAATAAATTGCATGTATGGGAGTAATGAGAAAAAAGTTTTGATTCGCCACCAGCTCAAAACTGCGCACAAGGCAGCTGTTTGTGCACTTTCCCACACTTCATCTTTACCTGGTGCATCAGCAACAACTGACACTAGGCTTGCTCTGGCAGACCGTGTCTGTGGCTTTATCGCAGAAAATAACGTTCAGAATATCACTACCACTGGTAGATTTATTTAAATCATTTGCAGTTGATCGAAGTGCACTGTGCACTCAAACTTGATAGGGAAACCTTTTTCTTAAATATTGACGTGTCCACAAACAAATGTGGACAGAATTTTATCGTCCTTTTGCAATATTTTGACGAGGACAGAGCCAAAGTGTTGACGCTCCATATCGCCTCAAGTAAAGCTACTCTCACTAATATTCTGTCAAAAAGTTTACTCGTTGCTTGATCCACTTATATTTCATATCAAAATACACTGTATATCTTTGAAGAATTCATTTGAGCTGTATTCAATATACAATCTATTATACAATAATATATTGTAATTACAAATATAACTTGGTCCTGCATATTACTGTGATTTACATGTGATAAATTTCCATGCGAAAATTTTCAGTCAAATCTTTTTTTTTTGCTTTAACCCCTGCTATATGGTCAAAGTGAAGTACATGCATTACAACATACTTTTAGTAAATTAATGATTTTTAATGATTGAGGGACAAAACTTTAAATTCTGACACATTTTTCCAATATTTGAACCTCAGCTGGTCTGTCCCCTGGACATTTGGGCTACATGCTCCCTGGCATTGATGTATATCTCATAAAATGACCAAAGAGCTTTTGTGTGCTTTATATACCACCCTGAGCACTTTCTATTTTCTGAATAGCACGCTGAGTCCACACTGTAGATTCTGGTCACTGCCATGCCTCAGAGACCCCGAGCGACTCCACAGTCTTTAAGGTGATTCCATTAGTTTTGGGCTAAATTGGACTTTTTGTAAGAAAATAGTAGAACTGATAAACTTAATGAGGACTGCAGAACGCTTGGTATGTGGTGCATTTGTGATTTTAGTTTGAGCTGAAATGACCCCTTTACCTCAAAATGTGATTGGTATTGATTTAGTAAGTTTCATATACGTTAGAAACTTTTATTGAGGTGGGTCGAGCTCTGGTTGGACAAAATAAAGTCACTACACTTTCACATATCCTCATCTACCAATGGCTTTACTTGCAGTCCCTTAATAGCTGATGCTATATTAGCTGGCCCAAAGAACAAATACTTGTAAATAATATCATGATATTTGGCGTTAACTCATCTGACTGAGTTGAAATCAGCTCAGTAGATTTGACCAATATTTTGAAAGCCCTGGATCTGGAGAAGTCTTTATTTGGCCAGGCTCAGAGAACCACCCACTTGGAGGATGGCAATGATGGACTTATAACTACAACAGATTAAGAAAATATTAAAAAGATGAGTCATTAGTAAATATTGGCTTGTTTTTGTATTGAACCATCTGTTTGACACACTGACAGACTCTATACAGCTGTCTGTAAAATGGATGCTGCTTTGAGGGAAGTTTCAAAGCTGGTCGATATGCAGACATATGAAATGATAATTTAATGAGATATCAGTCATTACTCAGGCTTTCTGTTTGAATGTTCAGGATGATACTGATGGGATGGGATTTTGTTTCACTTTTATACAAATGCAACAATTCAACAATGACGCCTAACCCTCATTCCTGAAACAATTATCAAACTGTTGAATCAGCATCTCATAACATACCTTAGGCTTTTTAAAGTTCTAAATAAATGGTTTTCCAGCAGTCTCACATCCAAGTACTAATCAGGCCTGCTTAGCTTGAGATGGGACAAGATTGGGTTTTGAATTTGACTATAAAGAGAACAATCTTGGAATAATTTTATGATGCCAAGATCTAACGAGTGGAAGTAGCACTAATCCCAAAATCCCACATAGAAGAGGATGGTGCATTGCAGAAAAGATCTGTATCGGTCAGAATCTTGATTTTCCATGAACTGGAGTCGAAAACTCAATGAACTTTTGATTCTAGCCTACAGCTGCTTTTGGGCATCTCTATCCAGCTTTCGCTCCAAGTTTGAGACTTAGAAATGCGATACATGTACTTTTAATGACGGACTACTTTCATAAGTTTGTAGAGTTTGCATTTCCTCTCCAACATATCTAATTTTGGCTGTTAAAATCTTAATTTATTGCAGGACAGCCTTCACTTGGAACTGTATCTGTCCCCACACTGACTGTTTCTCTGCAGGATTTGTCCCAATAGTTGGGCTCCCCTCTGGGCTTCTGGCAACAGCAAATCTGTGCTTTCACTCTCCCAGAAATATCTTCGGTAACTGAGCTCAAATGTTCTGTTGTCTGCTAAGGCGCACACATCAAACCCATGAGTTATGTGCATTTGTGGTGGCCCTTAAGGGACTTATGCCTGAACTATCTTATTATATATTAGCTTTTATTTTCTCAAGAAGTGCTGAATATATATTATCGATGCACCATTTTCTCACTGTGGGAGGTGTAGTTTGAAAACGTTGATCAGCTGTTGTGTGTTCTCATCTCTCAATAACCTTTAAGATGGCGTCCTAGTATTTATACAACTTTTCATACTAAAGCCTTCTTGTGTGCGGCAGGATTAGTACATGCACGTCACCACAAGAAGGTTCTGGGTTCAGTCTGGAGTGTTGTAATGCAATGTCCCCACCAAATAAACAATAAATACATCATAATACATACACTAACAAGACCTCTTTTGGTTGCACTGGTTTGCACCTACAGTATATGGAATTATCTTAAGTATTTTGTATTTTGGGACCAGTACTGTACTTCACCTGTGCTCTGTGATGAATCGGTGCTGAATGCAGATGGCAGCAGAGTCCCCGAGCAGAGTTATGGTCAGGGGTGAGAGTGGAGGCTGGGGCCCCTCTCTGTGACAGGGGCTATGTATCTGAGGGGCCCCACTCTGGAGCGGGTTATAGCCCCAGGAGCTGCAGCGGATTAGCCACTACACCACTGTCCTCAGAAACCCTATTCGAAACCTTCTTCTGTGTGGATTTGGTCTCAAGCCTTTCTGTTCCAATCTCGTACGGATTGTGAACTATTGGTTTTTAGACTTTAAGTTTTACCTACAAATGTCAACAAAGGGTGTGTAAGGCCTTGACTCTCTGAGCACCCGTTTCTTCTGCCTGATAATACATTCTCACTGTAACTCTGCCTAATGGCACAGTTTCTCTCTATGGCTACATATGAATAAAAATACTTTTCCGTGGAACATTCCAGACAATCCCCCAGCAATCGATTTACGCTGATGTATTGTAAAACTCCTCACACCGGCTATTGGCATTTGTGAGGTAATTTTAAATCTAGCTTCACCCTGGGAGGAAAGGGAGTACGGTGCCTGGGAAGGGTCATAAAGCTTTATCTCAGATTTAATAAACTCTGCTGTTGTTTTGTCCCATCTCTTTCTCTCTTTTTGTTGGAGCATCTTTGTTTCGTGTCTTTGTGAGCCTCTTGTCTGCCTCCTGCTCTTTACTGTAGAGCAATTCTAATCTCAAGACCTTTTCTGACACTATCTGCTCCCTGGCTTCACACAGCACTTATCATCTTGTGTGTCTGTGTGTGTGTATCTCTGTGCATGAGTGTGTTTTGTGCGTGCGTGTGTATCTGTGTGTTCTAGCACTGGTCATATATCCTCTTGGTAGGAAGAGGACAAAGGTTTGTATAGCCTAAATAAGATTTCCTCGCCAAAACAGGGCTTTTCTGAGTGGAGTTTGCATGTTCTCCCTGTGTCTCCGTAGGTTTTCTTTGGGTGCTGCGGTTTCTACTACCACTAAAAACATGCACAATGGGCATGAATGTAATGA